CAAACTTTGATAATTATTTCTTGGTTTGAAAGGCATTATTTGCAGATACGAGATCCGAAGCTTGCGCAAATAAATAGGTAGCACTAATATTTTAAGGTAATGAGTAAGATTTTTTAATTAGCATAGGAAGCTAGGAGGTTCTTAAATAATTGATTAGGATGGAATATGATTGGCAGAAGATAAGCAGGCAGTGGTGAGAAAATGGTAGTATGCTAGATTGCTACTTCAATTTAGGTTTAATCATTCAGGAGGTCCTTATTTTGAAAGAGAATCTTAATTTTATCCTGTTCTTTTTTGTTTTCTCAATTGGGTCCTAATTTTGTGAAAATTACAACAATTAGGCCCCTACCGTTAAATTGAATCCAACAACGTTAGTGTGTGGTTGACGTGGCAGAAGATAAGCAGTGGTGAGAAAATGGTAGCATGCTAGATTGCTACTTCAGTTTATAATAAATAACACCTGGATGAAGCTCCAGAACTTTCCTGCATGGATTAGGGTTTTTAATATATGAAAGCTTCTACATTAGTGAAATAGGTAGCATTAGTGAATGCTTGAAGATAAAATAATTGTTAGAAAGTTTTTACGTCCACTAAATATGATACTAATTTATAGTATGTAAAAAATATGTAAAAACTTCATTTTTAATATCAATTTTATAGAATTAAGTTAAATTTAAAATTGATTTTTTAATATAATATCATAATAATAAATATAATTTATTATAATAATATGTTATTTCACTGTTAATAATGTTTAGTTCTATATTCAATTTTATATATAAGTATCTACAAATCTTTCATGTCTAACAAGTGAAATGACACTACACTTTAACTCAACGCCACAGATTTTGAAAGAAAATTGTACGTAGCTCATTCATCCCTTCTGGTCAAACATGTATACTATATATAGGTAATAAATAGCACAGTTTGTATTCTATATAGGTAACATCCTTGGTTAGGTGCATATAAAGCATTGCAATGCTTAGGTAAAACACTTCTGGTCAATTTTGGGGTGGAAACCAGAAGATTTAAGTAAGTGATAACTAGTTAATATATTGATATACAAGATTAAATAATTTAATCGTGATCGAACGAATATTAATAAAATAATTAAAAGTAATAACTATAACTAAATCGTATACAAATATAATACTGTGCTTTTATAAACACTAAACTAAAAATAAAGCACTAACTTATGAACTTTTGATTTTTAAGACATACACAACTATCTAGATCAAATATAATAATACAATAACAAATTTACATATAAAATTGAAAGAAAATTATATATAGTATAGATTTTTTTACTGTGAGTATATCTCAATCATAGACAAATGGATTGTGTTCTTTTGTCAACTTTTTTTGCTGGTTTTCTGATTTTTCTTTATCAATTTTTCTGAAAGCTAACTTTTTTATTTATTTGGACGACATATTGGACTTATTCAATGATTTTTTCGAGTTAAAAATCATACTTTGAGGTAACATAGTTGTTATTACTGAGATTTGACGTGTTAATACTATTATCAACCGTATTGTTAGTTAGTGCATAGGAGTTTTTTAATAAAAAAAATTGTTGAAGATTTTCTAAGTAAAATTTCAAAGAGAGATGAATCATAATAGATAAACATAAAAAAATATATTTTTTTAGCCAAAATTTTCCTCATATATTTTTTATTAATTTCCTTACAATAATCCTAAAAGTATACCACTAATATATTATCAGAATACATCATTTCTTTATGTAACATTCCAGAAATATAGCACACAACTATATACAGGTGTTAACATTTAATAATATAATAGAACAGTTACTACAATATTAAAGTCAAACTTACAGTTATTACAAAAATAACCATAAAATTTTTCGAACTTTACAAGAGCTTCCTATACTACTATCGAACGTTCATTATATAACCGAACGATTATATTTACAGAACAAAATAGTGAACGGTCGTTTCACTAAAACTATTTATACTATATGACCGAACGGTCATCTCCTATTCAGCAGGAGTCTCACCGTCCAGCTCCTATTCCAACGTGAGCCCTTTCCCTTCTGCTCACATCCAACAAGGATGATCATTACAATAGAAAACTGAACGAAAACGTGGATAAAAACATAAAATAAGGGTAAGCTACTATAATTCAATTAAGCATACATTCGTACGTGAAATAAAACTACAAATCATTACAGACCGAACGCTATAGCATACAAGAACCAACGTAGATATCACACATAACTTGAATATCATAATTCACGTACGACTGACACTTGACTTGACCATCCGGATTGTATGAATACGTAGCTTGAAGTCGTTCGTGCACTCGGGTGGTGGAGTAACTGGAAAACCATCAGCTGCCACCCGAGGTTAGTCCGTTATAACTCACCCAAGAACCTATGGGCTAGGCCTCCCGCCATTCTCACACAATGACTTACTCATCTCTACTTGAGAACTGGTAATCATCAGAATATCAGGATGAACTCCGTGAATTTCACTATCCGTATTCATATTTTACCACCACATTATCCTTACACTGAGGCATTCCTCCCCGGAATTCTCTTCCACATTACTTGAAACATAAACTTTTGCTTGAATACCAATAATATTTCCCATACATAATAGATCATTGCTGTAATAANCCAACGTAGATATCACACATAACTTGAATATCATAATTCACGTACGACTGACACTTGACTTGACCATCCGGATTGTATGAATACGTAGCTTGAAGTCGTTCGTGCACTCGGGTGGTGGAGTAACTGGAAAACCATCAGCTGCCACCCGAGGTTAGTCCGTTATAACTCACCCAAGAACCTATGGGCTAGGCCTCCCGCCATTCTCACACAATGACTTACTCATCTCTACTTGAGAACTGGTAATCATCAGAATATCAGGATGAACTCCGTGAATTTCACTATCCGTATTCATATTTTACCACCACATTATCCTTACACTGAGGCATTCCTCCCCGGAATTCTCTTCCACATTACTTGAAACATAAACTTTTACTTGAATACCAATAATAATTCCCATACATAATAGATCATTGCTGTAATAAACAACCAGCACCAAGCCATAACATCAGCATTGAAAGATCAAACAACATTTCACATAAGAAGATCGAACGCTCAAATAACACCACCCTTAGTTACCAACAAACGGAAAGGATCTAAACAACAGACAAATATAAACGAACGTTTATTAAATAGATATGACTTTGACATGAGCCGAACACAGCTTAAGAATAGAACACTCTAATTAAACCAAATACTTAATATAAGACCGAACCATATTTAACTATCATCAATACTCGAACGAACGATATTTCAATATCCTCAAAGTAATAACGAACGATATCTACTATACTCAAAACAAGAACGAACGATATTTCACTATTTGACAAAACCGAACGCTTAGAGCTTATATCGAACACTTATAACTACTGATCCTTGGTGTAAGACCGAACGGTATTTTACTTATTTTACAAAACCGAACGCCTATAGCTTCTACCGAACACTTATAATTACTCCTACAAACTATTCATCAAACCTAGTACTTTTAAGGAAACCGAACGTTAAGACATTGTAGCTAAAATACCCATAAACTTGTATATGATCATAAACGAACGTAATTTAAGCCTAGTCTAAGTACAAAGTCTACTAATAATAATATATGAGCTATCACAAACTAAAATACCTAATCCAATAAGACTGATTATAAAGGTATATAACCATCAACACGTGATATATTAATCACTTCCTATAAACCGAACGATTATACTCTGGTAAGGCTAAAATGCTAACTCTATTAATAACTTATTCCCTGACCATAACCGAACGGTTGAGACCGAACACTCAACTATTCTACATAATTTTGCAGAATCCTTATAGACTTATACAGAACCACCCAAAACCCAGAAACATGCATTTCATACACTCATATACAAATCATGAATCAATTCATTCCATACATACACAAAATCATCACATGCATAATTAAATTTAATAGCTTCCCTTACCTCTTAACAGACCGATCGCTCACAATACAAACTTTGCACCACGACCAAAAGACCAGAAACGTGATCAGAACCTTAAAAGAAGAAGATAAACACATACAACAGAAACTTGGTTTGCATGTGCCCCAAACTAGACTTTATTAGAATCAGGAAGACCTACCAGTTCAAACCACTAAATGATCGGTTAAAAGGAGGATCCTTGCCACCAACAACCTTACATACACTCTGATGGATGATCAGATGGAAGAAAACGTGAGATTTAATGGAGGAAAAGATGATAATTTTAAAGAGAAGTTAGAGAGAAGGAGGAGAAACGAGTTCAGAAGGTTTGGAGGAGAAGATTGTATGCAGAAAGTGGAATCGGCTTTTGAAATTTTAGCTTATATATTCCCTCAAAAATCCGATCGTCCACTCTCTATAACCACCTGTCTTCCACTTGGTTCTGACAATTTCTGAAAAAAAAATATTCGACCTTTTTAAATCAATAAAAAAAAATTGATCTTTATGAATAAAATTATATGAGAGAACTATGTATATTTTTTTTATAAATCCTATATATATTTCTTAATAAAATATTGTGTATTTATATGATTTTTCAATTCTATAGGATTTATTATAAAAACTAATAATATTAATAAATATAATAACTTAATATGTTAAATTAGTATAATAATAAGAATAACCCAATATCTTACCTGATTAATCACATATTTATTGATATATGATATTAAAATAAATTAAAACGTAATTAAATTACTAAAATTTAATCACATATTTTCTTAATATATGATAATTACACTAACCAATATCTTTTAAAATATTAATTATTTAACTACTTTAGATTAATAATATCAAATGAGTTTTGTTGGATCATATTCTTGATATATTTGTTGAGTCAATTACATTCAATAGTCAAAATAAAGTATCCTGGGTCAAATATAAATTTTATACATTAATCAACAACAAAAAATTACAAGGAGGTTTAAAATAATTATTGTAAAAATGAATAAATTTATCACAGCTTTACGAAAAATCAATGTAAAAAATTCTAACAACATCAGTACACGTACAATTTTCATATAAATCATTTCAGAAATAATTGGGATGAACAATTCCCCAAACATCAAACTCCTGCAGTCTGATAGATAATCTGCAAAACCTGGTTATGTATATGGCCGTTGGTGACAAGGATACCGTCGGAAGGATATATAATCCGCCGGCCATCACGATCCGCTGCCAGATCTATTTCACTGCCGTTCCAGTCTGTTACCTGATCAAATTTGAAAAAATTGAATATTATCATCAAATGAGAAATAGAGAAAAGGTGATGCATTAAAGGGTCAAAATATGAAAATCGTATACAAGTGCCTGTGAATTATAAATTTGCTAAATAACTTTTAAGGCATTTCATAAAATCCAAAGCTGGAAAATGTAATAAGATTAAGAGTAAAAGATTTCGAGTTCGACGGCTGGGTTCAAGCACCACACCACATTATCAATAAGATAATTAATTCTTTCAATAAGAAATCAACAATGCCATGCATCAAATACCAATGAACGCCTTTTAAATTAGATGAAAAGGGAAATATATGTAAATTACCTGCCATCATTTATACGGGGCACAACAATCATCTAGAGTAGTAATAGTTCTCAGGGTAAATATTTGGCAGAAATTATTATGCATGACTTTAACTTGCATGTCTAAAAGGGAAATAAATGAGCAAGAAATTATTATAGTCTCACATCCTACATGCATAAATGAAAAGGTTAAAGGACAGAGAGAAAGAATATGAAGCTAGGAAGGCTGCCTTCATTAATGAAACGAGTTGCAATTAACAGAAATCCATTGAGTTGGATGTAGCTAAACTAGAACTTATGTAACTTCCTAGTTAAAGTTTCAGCTTTTATTCCTTTATATATTTTTTCTGCGTATAACGCTTGTATGAGATTGACCACCTTGCACTTATTCTTTTGGGAGTTAATAATTGACATCTTTAAACTTGGAATCCGGAAAGATCACCTAATACTAAGGATACGTTAATCTTAATTAGACATTTTAAATCTTTGATCTATAAAGTTGATTACTTAATTTAAATTTACAAGGACTTGTGACTACTAGTGATTTAGGTTCATTAGCTTGAAGAATTAAGATTTGGATAATTGTGTGAGCGGATGATATAATTTAAATATAAATAGATGGATAATTGATGGATTGCAGGAGGGATAGTTTACTAAGTTCCAACTCTGACTTCTCACCCATTTTTCACGACTCCATACCTTGCCCACCAGTTGTTCCATAAAATCACAAATTTTTTTATTTCAATTATTATTCATAGCAACTTATTTTCTCTCAAACTTGAATACACATACTTCCTTTTACACAACTACCGCACTGACGAAAAATCCTTAATAATGCTATTCCGAAATCATAATCAAAGCATAAATAAAAAGGCATGAACACTCCAGGACTTTTGAGAGGTCTAGGTCTCTCCCAATCCCTGTACAAATTCCCACACAACCACTGAGGGATTCAAATATTGAGTAGTGGTGACAAAATTCATATATAAATTTAATTTGTAGCATTAAAAAGTGCAAAGACTGAAAGTTGAAATTGATTAAAATAAAAATGGAAGCACAATGAAAAAGTTTTTCTATTAACAAAGTTTTGATTTTTAATATTTTTTTAAACTTAATCTACATCTGTTTTAAAAAGAAGCATATAAAAAATATAAAAGTGCGATTCAAATTTAAAAGTTAAAGGGAATCAAGAAAAACAGATAAAAAAAATACAATGATGAAACATACAAGAAAATGTGGAAATCAATCCTAATAGATCATCTAAGACACTCTAACATATACGATGATGATATTAAGAAATGTTTTTCATTTATTTTAGCAAACAAAAATGATAGGGAAAAGAAATACCTTTCCCCCTGCTTCGTGAACGCATATAATGCCAGCTGCATGATCCCAGGCCTACACAAGACCATATAAAAAATGTATCACTGAATAAATTATCCGACCAGCTACAAACCTAAAAATTTATAGGATACCATTATAACGGGCTTCTGCTTTGCTCGAAGAATGAAAATAGATGCTCTGCCAGAGGCCACCATCAAATACTTGCATAAGCTGCATTGGTCCACAACAAATCAAGAAATGGGCAATTGAAACAAAGAAAGGGTGAAAAATCAATAAATCTAACAAATATTGCCAATTTAACTCCATCAGATGATTCTATCAACAAATTACAATATAGTAATCACAGTTAAATGAATTAGTAATTACTAATCAGAGCAACAACTCCTCTGTTCAGCCCTCAGATATAAGATATTAACAAAGAGTTCCTTTCAAAAGCACACTGCAAAAATTTAACTTAAAAAAACCTCACGAAATTTAAGCAGTAAAAATAGAATAAGAAATAACACAAGTTAACAATTGCTTTAGATTTTACCAGCTACTCTACGCATCACTACTGCATAGAAACATCAATAGTTAAAGAAGTTTTGATTGCATGTAATCAAGTAAAAAGTATATGGATAATATTGCTGAGACCTTCCACAACATGCCCGCAAAAGATGGATTTGGTTGCTGCCTACGTTATCAGCATCGCTTGCTGCCTTAAATAAAGGAGACAGTGGCAGTGCTTCCCATTTTTCACTGTCTGAAATACAAAAGCGTGCTTTATGTATTACATCAGACCCATCAACAAAACATCTGGTCCACACATCAGGTGATTTCAGTTGGCTATTCAAACTTTTCCTCCATGTTCCACAGCCTTTATGGGCAATCATTACAGTTCCTGATCCATTAAGAGAATCCCACTCCTCGTCAATCTCAGCAGAGGATTTCTCAGATAAATCTTCCTTCCAGGTAGGACAGCCCATAACACCAATGACAACCTCTCCCTCAACCACCAGAGCCAAACCAACCTGTATATTTTGGAAACTAGTTGGGTTAAGATAATATGAAAATTGGATAAACATGAGACACTGAACCAAATATCACTCAACAAAAATTCCTTATATAAAGATATACACATGCAGCTTATCTATACCAGTTACCTGAGATCAATGTGCACCACAATTCAAGCACTATCACAAGGTTAACTCTACAACAAAAGGCTATTCCAGATGGAAATCTATAGGATATGTCTCTCATGCATTATCAAAAAGAAACTCAAACAGTATAACCTACATTATAACTTACCACATAAAAGGCTTTGCCAGCCTTTAGAAAACCACGCGTGCCATCAATTGGGTCAAGCAGCTGCATTATTCAATGAATTTACCATAAGTTATAATAGGAAAAATCAAACACGAGAAGTAAATATATAAAAATTCCAATATCAACCTTTAAATAGATAAGGTCCCAGCGACCAACAGAAGTCAACTTGTAAAAGTATGTAATTTTCATAAAACAGAAAAAATAATTACCACCATTTTTTTATATTCAGGAACACAATGTGAACAAATGTGTCATACAACAACATAAAAAATGAAGTCATGGATCAAATTTTTAGGAAGATATCTGCATCACTTCACAGCATTTAATATAACTGCTTAGATTTGCCCACCCAATATGTGGCTGGCTTTGGTCCAAATATAAAAGCTTCCTTGCTTCCTCTATCAATTGCTTCTAGTACATCATCTTGTGTCAATGATTTACAGGTGGAGCTATCTGTAGCAGTTATTGCATCAAACACGGTACCTGCTAAATTTCTTGATCGCAAGAAAGCAGAGTCCTCCTCGGCCACCAAAGGTATAGAAGGGAACAACTTATCTAACTCTGTTTGAATAACCACATATGATAAAACAAAAAAATTTCAATACCATTAAAATAATTACTTCAGATAAATTATTTTCAAGGCTACATGCTAATTATAATACTACGCTAACTACATGAATGCAAGAAAACTATGTTGCAGCAAACTAGTGTTTACAAATACACTTTTGATGGATCACACGTTGTGTTTTTAATGGTATTCCAAACGGAAAAAATCGCACATTACCTTCAACTTGTTTAAAAAGTGTTTATCTAAAACTTGTTCCTAATGCCCTCGTTTCCGTGCAAATCCACTCATTGTGCGTGCAATGGGCCTTGCACACATCAGGAAAAAATTTAGTTCGTGTACTCAGCTTTTTTATACTACATCACATTGGCCAGAAATTATGAGCATCGATCAGATTTCATTGGCATTTTTCAAGTTTTACTGAGCTGAGTCCTTTAGAAAAAGATGTTCATCATATTGTTGTAATGTCCCTAGATAAAAGAGCAATTTATGTAGAACTGTAATAGACCATTTTAATCAAAATTCGTTACACTTACGCCACGGTGGTTTCATTATACAGCATCACAACTCAGAAATATGACTTTTTACACTGGACACAAAGTTAATACCCAAACTTATGAGAGCCTGAACTCCAAAATCTGCAACAGTCACCGGAGTCTGGTCATTTTTCTCAATAACCTTCCCATCAGTTGAGAACAAAGATGATTGCACCTGCAGAAGTCCACCAACACAAATCACATAGCATTCTTCAGTGCTATAAAAAGTAAACAATCAATTTGATTTCTCATCTCGTAGGACATCATATTAGTCGTAGGACATCATATTAGTACCTGTACTAAAGGAAATTATTGAGAGTGCTAGAAAATATATATCGATAATCAAATTAATCCAAATTTTAAAAAAATGTGTGACTAAAATATAATATCAACTTATATTTAGGAACTAAATAATAGTTTAGAGTTAAGTTCATGGACTTATTTGATATCTGTTGGAGATGAGACATAGAGTAGAAATAAGACATATATAAGTATACATAACTACAAACCTCATCTTATAAATTAGTTTTATAAGGTTGACTTATACTTAAAGCACACTCACATATCCCCTTACAAGTTAAAGTTACCATCTTAGAAATATCTTAAGACATATTTAACATTTGCATAGTTGAAGGGACCAATGTGACTGCTTACTGATGAAAAATAAATAATGCACATAAAATCTATTTTCGACAGAATCGGTTCTCATGATTCAGCAAGTACACACAAAAAGTAAGTCACAGAAGATTACATGGAGAGTGAAATTGCAAGCCTTCTGGACTACGTCAACAGCAGCTTCAAGTTCTTTGTAGTACTTAGCATTTTGGTGCGGGAGAGGAAGGGTTGCCCTAACGGATTGCAAAAATCGGAGTGAGGCAAATGGAGGATTTCAGAGGAAATGAAAGTTTGTCGTTTTGAGAAGAACAGAAGATACCTTACGCTGAAGCTGAATGTGGCAGAGCGACGACGGCGAGTGGCGGCAGCGTCAAAAAATGGGATGGCGGAGACTTGTGAACGCAGGATATCCATTGCCATCGATTCTCGCCGTTGAGGAGGGACGGATGATAAACGTGGATAAGGGGATGAATTGGTGATGAAAATGGAAATAAATTGTTTTTTTTTTTTATCAAAGCATAAGATATTTTATTTTAGCCTTTAAAAATAATAAATTAAAAACCTTTGGAGGTGTAAATTATTATTTATTTTAATTCAAAATGTAAAATTCAAGCAACTTAAATAAAATATCATTCACACTTTTAAAGACAGAAATATATTAAATAATTAGCTTAATAGTCAAAATAATTATAAGAATATTTCTTTAAAAAAAACTTTTTAAAACTGTCATTACAGTTTTGATGGCCATATATGGACATAATCTAAACAAGGGCTTATAATAATTAAGGTTCATAACATTATTAATTATAATAAACAGGTTGAATATATGTACGATGTTTGAATTTAAGGTGAAATTAAATTGAATATATTTTGGTCTTAAACTTTAAAAAATAAATATACTTTTTTAATTTAATAATGTTAATATTTTTTTAATATTAAATAATGTTCAAAATCGACATATAATTAAAATGTGTAAAATAATTTAACAAAATTAGAATAAAAAGATTACATTGATTTAATTTTAAAATTTTAGAAACAAATTAAAGAAATGGATCAATTTCAATTTCACGTTTTAGAAACTAAAATAAATTTAAATCCAATAAAGATAATATTATGTAACATCATTGATGTATTTATTAAATATGAAAAACTAGTTTACGTTTATAATATTGTTAAATTACCCGAAATTGATCTTTAAAAGCATATATTTATTTAATTAAATTAATAACATTATTGTATACTATATGCGCTAAATAATAGTTTTGTAGGATTTCAAATATATATATATATATATATATATATATATATATATATATATATATATATATATATAATATAATGTAACCTCATATCAAATTTTAGTTGATAAAAATTTATGATTCTAAGTTTTAAGGTTAAAGATATTTAAATAATTTTTTATTTTTTTTATTTTTTATTATAAATTAAAAATAAAAATTATTAAAATACCGTTTAAAGTATGAATAAGGATTTTTTTTTCTCAATAAAAATTTGATACACTTTAAACATTACATAAGTTAGCAAATACTGTATATAATACCAAAATATACATTAAAAATATATTATTTTGTTATTGTTTAGGAAAATAAATTTGCTTTAAAAAAAAAGTCAAATATATATTGATATAATATAATATGTAGAAATTGATGAGAATGTATAATAGTTTATTTTTTAATATCCATACACCACTATAATTTTAAATAAATTATCATCAATTTTATAATATATTAAAAGATCTCTATTTTTATTTATTATTGTTGATAAAACATATTGTAAGGTAACTAAATTAAAATTCATGTTAATATAGCATATTTTTCTATTTAATTATATTGTACGTTGTTTTTACTTTACATTGTGGGTTTATAGCATTTTAATGTGTGACTTCGTATCTATTTTCGTATCGTGTCTATTTTTCTATTTAATTATATTGGACGTTGTTTTTACTTTATATTGTGGGTATTCTTATACCGTTTTAATGTGTGACTTCATATCTATTTCCGTAACATGTCTATTTTACTTTTGAATTATTTTGTACGTTGTTTTTACCTTATATTGTGGGTATTTCTGTAGCATTTTAATGTGTGACTTTATATCTATTTCTATAATATGTCTATTTTTCTATTTAATTATACTCTACATTCTTTTATGGGTTAAATATGTTTTTAGTCCCTAAACTATTGACCGTTTCTGGTTTTCGTCCCTCTTCCAAAGTAAGGTACAATTTAGTCCTCAATCTTTAAAAAACGTTCGTTTTAGTCGAAAAAACGAACGTTTTGAGGACTAAAACGAGGACTAAAAACAAAATTTTGAGGACTAAAACGAACGTTTTTCTAAAGAATGAGGACCAAATTGTACCTTACTTTGGAAGAGGGACGAAAACCAGAAATGACCAATAGTTTAGGGACTAAAAACATATTTAACCCTTCTTTTATTTATAATTGTATAAACTATATCGCTAGACACTCTGACACGATATAGTTTTTAAATATTGCTATACATCTTTAAAGAAAATGCATGTTCAAATATTTATTTAATTTAGAGGTTAATATTGTTATACATGTTTTTTCTACTCACTCGAACTCCATTTATCATAGGTTTATGTTTTTTTTTCAAATGAAACACGAGACTGAAGTTACTTCAGTGTTTTTAATGTGTCTAATATAGTTTTCTATTCATAGTTTATATATAATTTTTCAAAAACTTCAAAAATAAATTCTTGAAGTTTAAGGTCTCATATATCGAGATCGTGCTCAAGTATCTTTTACTTTGATTATTTAATTCAGAATTTGATATTTTGCTTAACATCGAGAAAAAAATAATAATTAAAATATCACTCGACTTAAGACTAAAATATTGACACTAGTTAATGACAAGATTTTAAGATTAATCATCACTTTCTTACATCCTTCTTTAAAAGTAAGGAAAATGACACTTGAACAACCATTTTTGACAACATTTAGACACGTGCACACGTGTCAAAATCTGAGTGGTCCATTTTCATTTAATTTTTCCAACTGGACCACTCAGATTTTGACACGTGTGCGCGTGTCTAAATGTTGTCAAAAATGGTTGTTCAAGTATCATTTTCCTAAAAGTAAACAATTATTTTTCGAAAAGGATTTTATATCGTTTAAAAATTGAGAATTAAAACAATTTAAATATTTATTTATTTTTTATTATTTGAAGATATTTTTTAAAGACAGAACAATAATAAAACACATGCTCTAAAATAGACTACATCTCATATAAGAATTAATTGTTCTTACCTATGTCCCAATTTGGAACAATTTGAAATCGAAATAGTTTTATTAAAGTTAACTCGTAATATCATTTGTATCAATAATTCCCAAACTAAAATACTCCTCATAAAAGTCAACGAGAGATTGCATAGAAAAATATCCAATTAATGCAATAATAATTATCGTATTATTATTATTTCAAAATAAATAATATTATTATCCAAATCTACGTGGTGACTAATTGGATAAAACCAGTGACCGTGGAGTTGGCGATAAGCACGGAGGGAGGAGAAGCTAAGAGCTATCGGTTAGAGTTAGAACAACTGATTGGTTTTCCATTTTGACCGTTTCACTCATCAATCCGATAAAACTACCTCAAGCTCAGATATAAGGATAATTTCTAAATTCCTACGTGGCATTTCCAATTCCATGAGCGCGACACGTGTCCTCGGCCCACGGACTTTATCTGCCCACAGTTCCTCTCTTTATACCCACAAAAACGTAGCCGGTTGTTTCGACCTTCTCCTCCGGTTGCCCCATGTTTTTGTAGTCCCACATCGGCTATTTTATAAATATCCCTTGAACATGATGATCTTTTAGAAATCTGAAATCGTTGAAAGTTACAGAGAATTTGAGATTGTGGAATGAGCTTGAGGTATATGAGCAGGGTGATATACCAGGGTGGGATGAGGGTGTTTCAGGGCATGAAAGAGCAAGGTTCAAAGTGTGACTCAACCATAAAATCTCTTAGGGATTCAAAAAAGGCTTGCTTCTTTTCAACTTCATCATCACCTCCCTTCAAAACTCCCAACGATGACAACCTTAAACAGTCTGAAGACTCTCTCAGAACTGTCATGTATTTGAGCTGCTGGGGTCCCAATTGATCTAAACTTCATCCTTCACTTTTAGATCATGTAAGAGACACCCGTGCATGCTTATTTATTAATTACTTATTTTTGTATCTTCAATTTCATCATTTATACTTATCTATGTATAAATGTTACAGATAATCAATATATATATATATATATATATATATATATATATATACCTGAAGTTGTTTATATTTACATACTCTCAGTTTCTGTAACTTTACTCTGTAAATTATAAAAGTTTTTGTCAATATTGGCCACTGCTGACATGATTCCATTTTTTTTTTCTCAATTTTTATGCAAAAATGATGAAAACACAAATTTAATTTTTCCCTTGAAAAATTGTAAAAATTAATTCGCAAATAGACACAAAATGATAGGCCCACGACTGTTCAGATGTTTAGACAATGGGCTTTCACATAGTTGATTACAAAAGTTAGTTGATAACAGCAGTTTTTGTTCAAAACTGGAAAACTAGAATTGAAAAGATTTGGAAGTCAGTGAAGAAGATATTATTTGATGAAATTAACTAAAGAAATAATCAATACATATGTAAAATAACATCAAAGAATATGTTTGTGTTTGTTACTGGATATCTTGAATGACCTTTCATGTTGCAGCTTGAGACATTTATTTTTGTTAAGATTAACATGTACAGTCAAGTTTATAATAAATTCATTTTTTTTTGGAAGAGGAAAAAAACAAAAAAAATCATCACGATTATTGAGAAATATAACCAAACTTCATAAAAAAATAATACTGTAAAAAATATTAACAGTATTATGTATAAAAATAAAATAAAAATCACGAAAAAGACCGTCACTCCTTAAAAAAGTGAAAAGTTGGAAGGAAGAAAAGAAGAAAGAAAAAATTGGGGAATCAAAAGGAGGAAGTGGGTAGCATGGATTAAGAACAGAGTTGCGTTGTTAGAATTAGTTGGCTTTTCCACCATGAACACCGCAATCGTGGGACCCTCCACTCTCGGAAACCAAAACCTTTGTCTTTTACGAGGACAAACAAACCCTACATGCAACACATATATACACCGTAAAGAAACGATACTATGAAGTAATTTTAAAAAAGCTTAAATTTTTACATGTCTTTTGATTTTTCTTGTTTATGTTCGCCAGAATCTCAATGATGAAGTTTTTTAAAATCATATTATAAGTTCTTCTAGAAAAATTCTACAACATTTTCTAACCCAACATTAAAAAAACAATTCGTCTACATAATCTGCTCGCACTTGGCATGACGAGTCTAACTTCTCGTATAAAAAATCTTAATTTACAGATTTCGTATCCTAATATTGAACATAAAAGAAATATTTAAAATGATAAAGTAAAATGTTTGTGTTTTGGTCTA